CAAAGACCATCGTGAAGGACTCAGCTTCAGAAGCAGCCTCGCCCTGCACAGGCGGACTGGGCTCTAGGCCTGCTGGCGCAGAGAGGTCAGGCTTCACAGTTTCAAAACCTGCCTCGAGGGCCCTGCGCCTGAAGTTGAGGGGGCTGACAAGCTCATTGCCTCCAACCAGAAACAAAGGTGTTGCAGCCACCTGGACGGTGGCCAGGAAGGTGATGGGCTTCACTGGCGACATCCTAAACTGCGATCTTGGAGGCGTTGACTCAAGGTCGACTATGTTGCGCAGAGTCGCCACATACTGGCCAGCAACTTCTGCTTCCCAGCCCAAACCTCTCATCAACACCAACACAAGTAGTGTGGCGCTGCGGTGTGCTCCGTCGCGGCAAGAAATCAAAACATTCTTGCCTGCCCTCAAGGCATCCCAGACCTGGTCCAAGACCTCAACCACACGCTGCACGTCGTAGCTTCCATTGCAAACCTTGCTGGATCTGTGGAGGCATTCTCTCCACCCAGGAACAGCTTTCCATAGCCACTCCCTTCTCCCAAGAACTCTGCGTCCAGAATGACATGCAAAGGGTGCCTGCCAGGCAAAATCTCAAAACCGTTGAAGAGAGGCTGCTGGAAAAGGCTTGCTAAAAAAACAAACGCTTTTGTCACAAAATGCACAACACTACAACCATAACAAGTTCAATAAGAAAATTGAACCAATGAACATGGATGAAAAAATAAAGCTGCGGGCCTTTGGTTGTAGGCTTGGCGAGCGACTCTGGTCACCTCCACGCCGCCATAAGTGTCACACACCAGCATCCGGAACATCTTGTCCATGGCGACTTTGAAGCCAAACTTGTCCATTTTTGAACCAGGCCAGAGGCCGCGGGCAGCTGTCCGCCTCTGGTCGTCACGCAGAAACAGCTTGGACAGCCCTTCACGCCGCGCCTTCTTGAAAAGACCGTCCAGAGAGTCCATGTCAATGCCCGGCATGGGACAAGAAGGTCTGGGTCTGGAAACTGCGCACTCTCTGAACTAACTTGAACCAAACTCTTGGATCAAAGGACAAGAAAGCTATGAGACTATTTGATACAAATTGGCCAGTCCACCTGCCTACCCTAACTTTAACCAACTGTAAAAAGTCTTGAAAGGTAGAAATAGGAAATTATATAGAACATGAACAGTTTTCAAGCGACTGTCAACCAACCCAGGTAAAGCCCCGTGCTTCAAACGACGCCCCCTCTTGCCCAAACCCTGGTCCTGTCCAGTGGCCAGCAAAGAAGTCCAGGAAGTCATTGGCAGCTTGTTGGCGGCGACCTGGCACAGAGGCCTGCTCCATGCTGGTGGCCATGACCAGCTCCAAGAAACTGCGCTGGGCAACCTTCACATCGCTCCACTCCTGGAGTAAGTCAGCTGGCACGGCATCAAGAACCACAAGCCTTCTTGCCAGCATGGCCTTGACCTTCTCGGACACTTTTTGCATAACCTTACCTTTCTGCAGAGTTTTGGCGACAGCAAAGGAACCTGGCAAAATGCCCAGCAGCTTTGTTGCTCGCTCCACAACATTACCATTCCGGTGCTGTGCGCACAACGTCGGGAGGAGCATGTGGTTCTCCTCTAAAGTGTAATTCAAATGCCTCAGAAGTCTCAAGTTAGCTGAAAAAGCGTCGCAAGTCACCATCGTGCAGCGAAATTTGGCACTGGCAGCATCTGGACCAGGCCTGAGGCCACCAGGCCCTTGGCTCAATGAAGCAAACATCGTTTCTGCTGTTTTATCCAGCAACGCTTGAGGATTTCTGATGACATCAAGATCCTGCACACCATCTGGGCCACCATAGCTCACTTGTGCATGAGATGCTAGGATGGACCAATCACCAGGACCAAAATCCTCCAAGGCTACTTCGAGCTCTGTTTCGTCGAACATGAGGTTCAAAAGGCAAAAGGTAAGCTGACCGCCATCACCCCATTTCGCCTTTGCTTCTGCGGCTGCCCGGGCCAGCCCTTGTGATTGGACTTGGTGCAAAGCCTGGGCTACAAAACAGCGGGCCATAGAACAATGGCTAGCGCTGGCCCCATCTATCTGCTCTGCGACCTGCCTCAATGACAATATCTCATTTGCAAAAGCCGCCCTGAGAACTGCCTCGCTAGTCCAAGATTTCCATTTGCCTGAGCCAGGCCTTGCACCCGGCCTGAGGCCCTGTCCAGAGAGCGGCAGCATGTGGTCGCTGGTTCTGTTCCGGCCTTTGCTGTTGTTGCTCTGCATCTGTCTTTTGAGCCGCCGGTCTGCCAACTGCTTCTTGCGGGTCCGGTGCTGCAGCTTTCTCGCACGTTCAGCAGCTTTGGCTATCCGCTGCTGAAGCGAAGCAACAGGCCTACCTCGACTTGGTCTTTGACCTGCATGCCGCTCAGCCACAGCAGCCAAGCAAGCCAAATCCATGGCCCGTGGCTAAGAATGCCCAACCCTAAGCATCCCAGAGTTCCTACAAGCCTGCTAGCAAGCAGGGAAAAATGCAACTTGTGACTTGAGCAAGAATGATGTTTCGCACACAGTGAAGGGGGAACAACTGTCTAATCTAGCGTCCAAAACATCTGACTTACACTTATGGAGACCCAGGCTGAGGTGCTTGGGTTTGGCCATGCTGGTGGGACCGAAGTTCTAGGGACCTGACGCTACATGAGCATGAGGGGGACATGGCCCAAAAGCGTCCCAACACCAGTCAGTGCAACCTCTGCTTTTGGCACCCCTGCCTGGTGCACGAGCCTCATGCACAACACTGTTGCAGGCCCATTGCCCAGCCTGCGGCCCTTGAACCTGGCCTGAGGCCGAATAAAACCTGGCCTGAGGCCAACGCCAACATGAATTGAGTGTTCAGTTGCCTGCATCATCAGCAGACATGAGCCCCTCAGAGGCATCACTATATGATGCCTCTATGCGGGAGCGCAGGGGGCTGAAACGCTCACAAAAGAAGTAGCACACAGTGCACCAGCCAATCAGCGCAAACACACATAGAGCTGCAAACCATGGCGTCTCCAAGCAAATGCACTTGCACATTGCAAAAGCATAGCGGCGGTCATGAAAACACATTGGATTGAAATCCTGAATGTCCAGTGTGGGAACATACCTGACCTCTTCTGCCATGGAAGAAAGCACATGCTGACATGGTTCTCAGACCCTTCTTGGACCAGAGTCTAGAAGCGGTAGCACAGCAGCAACAAAACACACAAATGCAAACAATTATCAAGAAATTGTTTCCACAAAAGAAAATCATGAAAACAATTTCTCAACAATTGTTTTAATATATTTTAAAAATTAAAACAATTGTCAAAACAATTGTTGAAACAATTTCCAACCTCAAAAGAATATTTCGCTTGTTTTTTTTTGGCGTCCTCATCACCGGAGGTTTTGAAAACATTTAACTTACTAGTAGTAACAATAAGCTAGTAGAAACAATATATCTTTTATCAGCGAATCTTGCAGCTTTTCGCGTTTGAACGCGTGCTTGACACGCTCCAATGCATCCACAGACTTGCGCACGGGCTTGGCCCGTGTGAATCTTGCGTAATGGGTGTTGCTTAGTCACACACCTATTGAGGATGTGCAGTTTGATTCTGCGCGGCCCAGGATAAACTTTTAGCAGTATGTGCTGCACACAGGAAAAGCTTTCAGCTACCATGGAAGGTTGAAACGCGGTTGGATCCATAGCATCACAATTTCCGGATTTCATGATCAACAGTCGGTTGTCTTCGGTGGAGGTTGACCAGTTCTGTCCGTTGTCGATTTATGTACAGCCTTTGTCCACCAGCGTGCATGTGCTTTAAGGCTGCTGCGTCCTCAGCACTCCCCCGGACATGATCATGAAGCATAACTCAATCACATATCGAAGCTTGTTTGTTTCTTCCTTGTCGAAGTAGCAGCTGGCAATGGGGGGTTCATGTTGATGTCTGATTTCCTTTAGTTTACCAGTTTACCACCTTTAATTCAACGTGTGTGCACACACCATTATGCTATTGTGTGACCTGACACCTAGTCCATCATTGATGTGTCAGTGATGGAGTTTGTGGTCCAATCCAAAAAAATAGAACCGTTTCAAATGATTCTCTTTCACAAACAAACCTAAACATTCCTTCAATGTACCACTGCACACACAGTTGCAAGACGCGAGCTTAGTCGAGTAGTTGCCATCGTCGCTGCGGGGCGTCTGGTGTTTTCTTTGTTTTTGGTGACACGGATTTTCACAACCGTGGAGGCGCTGACATGTTTGCTGTTTATTTCTTGTACATGTATACGATGCTATGGGTTATGTTAACGTTCATGTTAACTGGGGTGGGGTGGGGTGGGGCATGTTGAAGTTCATGTGCACTTGCGTGGGATGTTGATGCTATGGGTTATGTTAACGTTAACGTGCACTTGTGTGGGATGTTGCTGCTGGTGGGTGTTGCGACGCGAGAAAATGCGTGGATCACCTCAAGAGAACGTTAAAGCGCTCTCCAACATGTGGAACACGAAGTAGTTTTGGCAAGTGCCGAGAATAGGGTGCGCACGCGTGCACCGCAGGGTGACTGGGGGCGTCATGATTGATTTGCCAACAAGACCAGGCGCCTGGTGGCGTTGTTCCCGAGTAGTTAGTCGTGTCGAATAGGTCCAATCATTGGGTTCAAGGACGGAAGTGCTGAACAAGCGATTGCAGTTCCGACTTTTCCATTAAACCTCCTTTGACCATCAGGCTTCAGCGATGTGTTGACCTTTGAGGTGTTAAGGTTGCACCTCTCCACGCCAGGGCTGACAGTTGCATACGAAGATGACATTTTTCATCGCGACCAACAATCCAAGCGTTTTCGTGCATCATTGGTCATTGGGGGCGTAGGGCTGGCTTCAGATCAATTCCTTTCCGTAACGTGGCAACGGTCCAATGGTCCTAAAAATTCATGTAAATTCCCAAAATGTGTATATACATTATGTATATATACTTTCAATTGCTGATCTGATTTCGTGTCGTGAAAACTGAGGCTTGAGCCAGCAATGACACTGAAGCGTCGCTGATGACCTCAGCTAGGTGTCTTGGGTCACTGGCATCTTCTGGCTTCGGATGGACAATGAGGCCACCTCTGCAGAGGGCTGGGTAGACTTCGTGGCGGAAGACGGCCCAAATGTTGGGTGTCTTCTGCAAAATGCGGCTCCCTGCTACGCCACACTCTTCCGCAAAGAAGTGCGTGGAGTGCGCCAAGCGGCCGTGGGTGTAGATCACGCCTTTGGGCACTCCGGTGGATCCCGAGGTGTAGATGACTTGCGCCACCTGGTCCAACGGCTCCTCCAAGTGGTCCAAGTTGCTTTCATTCCGGTCCATCGACCCATTGAAGGACATGGTCACTGCGTCAACCAGCGGCACATCCAAGTGCTGGAAGGGTGAAGCATCATCGCAAAGCACCACGGAAGGTTGTATCTGCCTCACCAACTCCTCCAACCTTTTATGTGGACTCTTACGGTCCAGGGGTGTCCAAGCGGCTTTTGCAAACCACACTCCAAGCACTGCGGCCACCAGCCGAGGTCCACTGTGCATGTACAGCGCAACCAGCGAGACCGGCGTCACGTCACGGGTCGGCAAATGGCGTGAAAGAAGTTGCCTACTGTTCATGGTTTCAACTCAGTGAAAAAAAGTCAGTGGGTTCAATCCATCCCAAGTAATTAGAACATAAAATATCATAAAATGATCTCTGAAACCACCCCAGTTGCCCACATTGAATTGCACAAGCAAGCAACTGCTCACAGGTGATCGTTTCTCCGCCAGCGCACATCAAGGCAGCCCGATTGGGCTCCTGGACCTCGGAGATTTTACAGAAAAACCATGAAAAACCCCTTACAAGCGGATGTGAACTCCGAGGATCTGAGGATCCTAAGGTCAAGACGCTCTTCCAACGTCCGAGCGTCGGGATGACCATGTCGCATCCAGGGGCCGTGGATCGGGGCATTTTCGACTTCCAATAGGCACCCCTATGGAACTGGAAGGACGCTGGATACAGATCAGTTCCTGGACCTGGTGTGACACACGACACTGGTGTCGTGCACCACACTCAGATGGAAGTCTACTGAATTCCGTCGAATTCTCTTCGAGGCCCATTTCGTTCCTCCCAGGAAAAGGTCAGCGTTCGTGGGAAAGGAATCGGACATCATTTGCAGATTTCGTAGCACAGGAGGGGTTGGGAGCGAGCGCGCAGCGCCTCCAATAACACACAGAACGCCTTTAGAAGCCAACAAAAAGCCATGAGAAACCATGAAAGGCCAGCAAAAGCCACCAGAAGCGGAACCAAAACATTCAAGCCGCGCTTGGTTTTGCTGTTCAAATGTCCTTTTTGCTGCCCTGTGCAAACAACCACCAACTCACACTCGTACAAAATCGTACAATGGGCATGCTTGCTTGCACCAGATTCCAAAAGATGCGAAGAGAAGCACTCAAAAAACCAACAAACGCCAGGAGATGCCACCAAAGCCGACCCAACACGAGAAGCCACGACAACAAAGCTCCGATACAATACAAACAAACACATCCACCTAACATATGCAACCCCCTTGTTCTTGGTCAACGCTTGTCATGTCCAGGAGACGAGTTTAAACGAGAGTTCCCCATTAGCCGTCCCAATCAATCCCAGGGGGGGGAGGTCGACCCCCCCCCCCCCGTCTGTGTTTCCCCCCCCGGCCCCCGGGTCCCCCCCCCCCCCCCCGCAGGTCCCCTGGCCGGCGCAGTCTCTTTGTTTGCTTTGCATTCAACGTGCGCTTGTTTTACGTGGCTGTGGTCTGCTAACCCACGAAATCTGCACTTCATCTCCCACACCCGCGCCTGCCACGAAATCACATTTTAAGGTGAACCCCTGCGGCAAAACAACCCACCATACTCGGTCGCTCGGCCAAGCAACCCACAAACCAACCAACAGGCACCAATCAGCAAAGACCAACAGCAACGACAATAACCACAAGCGCATTCAGCAAAAGCCACAACAAACAACCAACAAGAACATGAACCAAAACAACCGACGAAGCAACAAACCAAGCAACGTGATGAAATAGTCCGGCCGGCGCAGTCTCTTTGTTTTCTTTGCATTCAACATGCACTTGTTTTACGTGGCTGTGGTCTGCTGCTGGGGCCCCAACCCCCCCCCGCACCACGAAATCTGCACTTCATCTCCAACACCCGCGCCTGCCACGAAATCACATTTTAAGGTGAACCCCCTGCGGCAAAACACCTTCTCCACCAACCAACCAACCCACCAACCCATGCAAGCGCATTCAGCCAAAGCCACAACAAACAACCAACAAGAACAGGAACCAAAACAAGTGACGAAGCAACAAACCAAGCAACGTCTTGAAATAGTCTGGCCGGCGCAGTCGCGCAGTCTCTTTGGTCGTTTCGGGGGGGGGGTGGTTCACCCCCCCCCACGCTTTGTGGAGGACAAAACTGGAGGAACTATCGTTTAAACCTTGAAGCTGGATAGCATTCTAAGAGCCCCCTTTGACAATATCTCAGTATATACGTATCGTTACTGGAGCTAATGGAAAACTCTACAGCCACGCATACACACACGCACACACCGGTTAAATCTCCCTCAGACTAATTAGACAATCCCTCAACCTTGGTTTGAGGATGTTTGAGGTACGTTTCACCCCACTGGAATCCTAAATATTGCAGTAGACCCACCGAAAAGCTTCAGATGTGACATCTGAGTGACAGCATGCTGCAAGAACTGCTGCGCCACGCTCACTCTAGGATATGGGGAGTTGGATGCTAGACCAGGCTGCACAGGCTGCTCTGGCTGCTCATTGCATTCCTGGGGTTCCTGCTTGTCTCGTTGGAAACAACGAAGCATACGCCCAACAACAGTGCAAATCAGGAGGCACGCGGCACCAACAAAAAGGAAAGCCCCGAAGGACATCAAAATGGAGAGGAAGAGGTTTCCCACCTTGGATGTCAAAATCAGTCATGCCAGCTCATTGTCTATGACCAAAACAAAAGCACATTGTTTTGCATGAACGGTTCACAACAGAACGACAAGTATTGCCCCTCCTGCCTCCGGATGCTGAAGTGAAGGTTTCAGGCAAAGACTTGCCTTTCCATCGGGCACGCATGGGCGGCCTGACAAAGTGGGCACCCCGCGCGCAGACTTCACAAGCATTGCAAGAGTAAGGTAGTCGTTGAAAATGGTGTGAATGCCAGCAAGAGGTAAGATGGCTGCGGTGGTTGCTTGCAAAGGTGAGCAGCTTCTGGCCACATCTGTGAGCAGCTCAACATGTGGTAACTGGTAACCCTGCTGAACATTCAAAATTCCCCAACAGTGACAATATTTTACCTGACTTCCCAATTGTAGTTTATTTGAGACCAGTCCAAAATACCTTTCCTGAAAACCACTCTTGCGCTGACCTTGGGCAAACCTTGTGAAGTTCTTGCACAAATTCAGTAGTATATAAGCTACAACACTTTTGGCGCACATGCAGTTTCTTAAGCTGCAGCAGTTTTTGTTCGAATGTGTTTCGTGTACCGACACTTGCGCGAAACCTTGTCCAAACCTTGCGAACTTGGCGAGCACAGTTCATCCCTGTTTAGACCTACTACCACTATCTAATAAAACATGCGCTGCTAATTATATTGACTCCCATCATATACATTGATCATATACATACGATGTGTATACGATCAATGCATTATGCTCATTTTTGCTGGCAAGAAAATGCCGCACTAACTTTGCAACCACGATCTCAACGAGCGCTCCGCTGTTCGACCTTGAGTACGGCGATGACCGGAAGTCCACAGTCACCGTGCCACATGCTGAAGCCACCGCGCGCATGCACACCTGAAAGCTCCGAATGTCCACGAAGCATGCACTGGACCACACCAAACACAACCCACACTTTTTAAAGGACCTGTATATACACTGCAGCATACATCTTCACATCTCATTTGACCACAGTACAAACCACCAGTTCACCACATCACGCAACATCAGCCCACGACCTGTCACGACATCAAATTTTGCCACAAGACAAAGAAAGAGAGGGATTCTTGGGAATGCTCTGGTGAGTTCCAAAATCGCGGAAAGACTGGCAAGAACACGCGGCGAGGAGAACGCTAATCTTTCTACTTCGCGCCTTTCTACCACAGCTCGCGGTTGCTTGGCCCCCATCCATGTGGATCATTTTGACAAATGCCACCGGCTCGAGAGCCTTCTTCCCTCTACTAATTCAATAATATATATATATATGGGTGTGTATTTTTTTACCGTAGTCGGCCCGGGAAGTTTGAATAGGTGGTATATATTCGAGGGTATGATTCGGGGTATGATTCGGGGGTATGATTCGAGGGTATGATTTGCAGATGATTCGCAGCTTTGAAGTTGTATTGAATTATTCTTGGATTAGCTGGACTTCCAGCAGTCGGCCCGCCCTGCGCCGAGGCAGTAGGCAAGCAGCATCTGTTGGATACTGGGCAGACTAAGCAAATGCACTCTTCCACCAAAGACTCCAGTGGCCCTCTGCAGGCCCCACCAAAACAACCAGGATGTGGGATGGGTGGGAGACTGTGTGGAGGTGCGTGATTCGGGTATGAATGAATCGGGTGTGATTCGTATGGCCATTAGATTCTGCAAAAGAAGGCGGTCCTTTGGCTCTTCTTCCCAAGGGAGAGCACATGGGAACATTATGAGTACCCCTGGGACGTGAGCCTTTGCTCTTCCCACAGGAAGACACAAACAATTTTGGCCAAATTGGGTGCCCATGGATCACACAATTGCAAACGTCATGCACCATTGGCTCATGGACATCTACAAGGCACAAAGACCAACCAAAAACTTCACCTTAACACCTGGTTCTTACGTGTAACGTTTTGAGGGGTATGATTCGAGATGATTCGAGGGTATGAATCGCTCAAGTCGAACTTCCAACCACTACATCAGGAAGTACACGCAAAAAAGAATACAAACCCATAATATGTATATCCGCGTTTGCTGAACATCACAAGACAATTGGAGTATCCTGGGTACCTTCCGCATTCCATCCTCACCATCCTCCTTCCGCTCAGTCTTTTTGGCATGTTGAGAAAGAGCAGGGATGGCCTCTTTTCTACAAGCCCACACAAACCTAGGGGTGTCTTGTCTTTGCGTCATTATGCAATGCGCATGAGCAAATGAATGTATGGAGCAAACAAATACATCTGCAACATGTACTCGGATGGTCACCAATTGTATGAATTCAACATCATTATGAACTGGTGAGGACGGCTGCGAAAGACTTAGAGGGAAGAAACAAGCAAGAGTTGGTGTAGAATTTAGAAGGCAGGAAAGACATGAGCGCGATACAGCAAAAAATATCCCACGATGGAAAATATGGAACAGATTCCTGTGTTTGGAAGGCTTTTGCCCATGAGCTTTGCGAAAGGCTGCTTCAATGGCAGCTATTAATGCAAAACAGCCAACTGATTCGATTAAGTTTCTCCTGACAAAAGGAACTGAACAGCGTGCTGACTTCGTGGTCGCATCTTCTTTTCGCACTTCCCGCACGGTGAACGATTCAAGCACTTCTTGCTTCGGTTGTTCCATAAAAGGCTCCAAATGTCCCACATCCCATGACTCACGCGCATGGAGACGGGGGATGAACGAGTAATCGCTGACAACTTCCAACGGTGCGACAGGTTGGTTCCTTCGGGTGGAACTGACTTCATCTTCAGCTCCGGTTGGAATGAACACAGTGTTGAGTGTTCCGCCCTCAGGGCCCTCAGGGCTCATCTTTGGCCCTAGGGCCCAGCGTCAGCCTCACTGCGGTGTAGTCAGGAAGCCTCACAGTCAGGAAGTCTCACATGTGGCAGGGTGTCAAGTCTGTAAGTCTGTGCCAGAACCTGCTGGTGAGAATGCATTGTAGCTTGGCTACATCAACACGTGGAATGGGCGGCCCAAGCTGATGCACAAGAGCCAGGAGAGCGCATTGTTCCAGTGCTTTAGCCGGGCATTTGAATGAGTGAAGCCCTATTGGACCTATTGCCCCGCTCAATTGCCCTCCTGCCGTACAACACATGATGCAAATGGTCAGTTGACAGGTGAACGGCACAGAATCTTAAGTGGCGAAGGAAAACACAAGTCTACTGTAAAATAAACAAATCCATCCGTGGAAGTAGTCATTGGACTCAAAGGCAACGTGCTAAGCCTGCATAAGCCTGCCATCTTTTGCTGCGCCGTGATAAGGACATGGCACACCATGAATGCATTGAACCAATGGACCTTCACAATTCAATGGCTGCATCTACTAAGAGAATGCTTTCCGGACCCTCTCAGTGAAACATCCTCTAGCAAATATCTTCCTTCAAGCAGGGATTGATCGTGATTTGTCCAATTAGCCGGGTTGAACGACTTAAGCTTGCTGTGGTCATTGAGCACACTTGCTCACGAAAGCGTTGGCCAACTGCGACAGCATTTCATGTGCTGCCCTTGATTTGCGCATAGCCAATCACTATCAATTAATGGGTATCCAAGTCTACATTCTCCTGCCCTTGCTTGGGGGTACCTCTCTTGTCACTCTCCATCATGCCATCACGAGCTTGACGACAGCTCGTTTGGAAACCAAACAGCACGAGCTAGATCTTTTATTGAGACTCGCTTGCAAAATGCCTTTGCAAATACCTTCAAAAAAACCATTCGGATGATGATGTGACATGTGCAATCGAGACCCATTCAAAGACGGATCGACGGATCGACGACTTGACCACCATGGCTATACGGACCTCACCTGACGGTCATGACGGCACTTACGTCATGACGACCTACCTTACTGACGACGTCAGGCAGGCATCATGATTATCAAGGTCGTGCCGTCTGACGTCCGTGCCTGCCGTCACGTAGTCGATCGGTCGCGAAACTTTGGATTCTGGACCTGCCGAAGTGCGAGCGGCTTTTGCGAGTATTAAAAGTCGAGGGTCCTAGCTTGTTGCATGGTGGTTGTTGATCAAAGGTGCTTTCCTATACATGAGCAGTGTCAAAAGCCGGTCTATGATCTGCTTTATACTCATGACTTGCTTCCGCCAATGCTTGCGCAGGGCTTCCGCGACCTGCGTTTTGGCTTCTGTAAGCCATGTTTGGTTGAAATCCTCTTCCACGGCAAAAGAGAATATGTCTGGTTGGAACTTGCGACAAGTTACGCGAATGACTGGTGGCTATTTCAATACTGATGGATTTTCATGTGCCTTCTGGCTCGATGATTTGACACCGGAAGACGGGTCTTGTGGGCACTTCGAATGGTGGGTCTCGTGGGGGTCCCTATTCGGTCCCTATTTGGTGGGTCCCATCCAAGGGCTGATGCCAGGAAGTGTGAAGTTTCAAGCTGCGATGCACCCAAATTCTCATGGCTCATAACCGACCAAGGAGTTGGTTCGAAAAACAGAGCCGCTCAATCTTTATCTTGACCTTCTCAAAAATACACCAGAGATGTGGAACTCAGCTGCTTGAGCGACTCAGCAGCAACCCTCAAGCCCTGAGATTTGATGGTCTGACCAGTCTGACCGGAGCAATATTCAATTCCTCCATGCCGAAAGCGCCAAGTCATCAGATCTAAATGGGAGTTGATCGAAAACCCCGTGTAAGGAGTTTTATATAAAACAGCCTTTCAGATGTTGTTAGAACCATCCGCGAAAGATTCGCGATGAGGTTCGCGAAAGTATCTTTTTTTCCCGCGAAAGATTATTTATCGAAGGTCATCGCTTTCATACGTTTTCCTTTCTAAGGGACTGACAAAGAATAGAAATAGAAGGCAATCTTCCGGCAGAGCTGGTGGGCGGAAGTGTCCCCATATGTCACAGACTAACGAATTGAAGCCTCAATATTTCCGTGCCCAGCCCTGGCAGTGCGTAAAGGATTCTCCGATTCCTGTCCCCACTGTCATAGACAAGCAACCTGAGTAGGCGCAGCCCTGACGGTGAGGCAACGACCTACAGCTGCTCTGACGGGCTGCGCAGATGCGCCAGTGAAATTTCGCGAAAGATCTGCGAAAGTTTCGCGAATGTGCCGCTAAAGTCCAGGTCCCCAGCTTGAGGCCCCCCAACATTCCCCAAGCTGCATCACCCTGTGTTGGTAGCTGGCACGAGGATTGGGTTGAGTTGCGCCACAGATGCTGCAAGTGACCCTGAGTAGCTGTGGAAACATTCAACTGGTCATGCTGCAAGATGTCTGTCCCTATGACATGTTCCGGCTGTTAGCTAGACATGGTTGTAGGACCATGCTTCGCGATGAGGCCGCGAAAGATCCGCGAAAGATATCTTTTTTTCCGCGAAGAATGGCCATTCCAGGATGAAAGAATATTGATCAACCACC